CGATTGCAAATGCCTCGTCGTAGCTAAAATAGTGGTTTTTGTGTTCTGTTTTAGAAGAACTTAGTAATTAGATAACGATGGGGGGCCTGTAGACGACACGATCTTAACCCTAGTGCACTATGACTTGTTTCAGAACGAAAATAAACATACATTGATATCGGTATTAATCAATTGTGGTTTGGCGATGATTATAGCACTTCTCATTGCTTAATAATTATAGTTCAAAGTATTTTGAGGAAACGTTAGATCTGCTCATTGCTCTCTGATTTATTTAATAGTAAGAAGCTTGAGTAGAAGTTGCCTCATTTTGGCGTCATCGTGTGTCTGAGCCGAAGGACTCACTTGATTCTAAAATATACCTACGCAGAATACTGCGGAGGAATCACTGAACGCCACCAGGCTTCGCCAGCTAGGTCTCACCACTGACTAACGAGGGTTAGCTTCTTCAACGTAGAAGAACACTTAGATCCAACCGACACAACTTCCAACGGGTCAATCTGTCTGTGTACCAAATTGTGAACTTTGACAGCTATGCCAATGATAACTACCGGTTCTACCGAAGATAACTGCTGGATTTTTTTAAGCGCGCAAAATATTCCAGCGACCCATGGATGACCAATAAGTTGCACTGCAGCCATGTAGCTATCATTAGAGATCTTGGATCCATGAGATTTATAAAAAAAAAAAAAAAAAAGCAATAAAAAACTAGGAATTAAGTGCCCATCAACTCAAAAAGATATGATTTTATATTATTTCTCGCCATCACGCCGAACGCCAACCAAGACGCAGTCACTAATGTCAATTCTAGGACAAAATCGTTACCAGGGATGAGCAGTACTGTTTTTGTTTCGACATAAAATGTGGACAACAATGGAAAGCTTCGGATGATACGCCTAGACTTAGAACGGAGCCATATTTTCATCAAACGAAAACATGATTTGCGTTTGATAAGAACTAGAGGAGCCTTACAGAGACTGAAATGCTCAGGAAAAGCAAGACGGACAAGGAATGTAACTTAAGAATAGTAAATGAGGCTGTCTAACAATAAAAGAAAATGTCATTCCTCACTACGACAATGCCAAACCACTTACGGCAAAGATAACCCAACGAAATCTATTAAATTCCTCTCGTTTTGTACCGGCAGATTACCATTTTTCTGATCATTTGACAATGCAGAAGATCTTCTTCAACACCAACACAGAAAACATTTGTTAAAGTGCTGTAGGTATATTGAAAATATTAAAGGTGATTATCGAATAAACTAAATTGTCGCTAGAATTCGACTAAAGCGCTGCGTTTTTATAAATCAAAAACACCGCCACTACTTAATTAATTCAATATATGTTAAAAAGCGAAACTCGTGTGGGGACTATCTGTGGGGCGACGAGAGTCGTTTGTACACTTATGGTTTCAACCTGATTTTCAGTTTCATTGGACTTTAATTGATATCTGTATTTTTGCTATCAATTATAATAATAGGATTATGCCAAAAACTGTGCACGTGAAGAGGTTTGACTGCATTACTAAAATCAATTGTTTCCCTCTGTATAGATATTAAATATAACGAAGGATAGCGGCAGCGTCGACCTCCACGCGTCGCCGATCAGCGATGTTCCGTTAGGCTGACTTAAAAGCAGTTTTGAAATGCACAGATATCGTCAAAAGTACTGCTCCCCGACAGTTAATGTTTGAATAAATCCTATTTAACGCGGTTTAATATGCGCATTGTTTTTTCCCGTGGAGATTCGTGCTGCTTTTCGAAAAAGTGGCTTGTAGATTCAAGCAAAGTTTCGAGATGACACGGTGGCCCAGGTAGAAGTTCACGTATGCAGCTCAGTTTTTGGCCATGAAGCTACGCCTTTACCAAATAGCTTTTCCTCCTACAAACCGTAAGGGTAGCATACTTAAAACCTTCAGACTATCACGTTCCTATTTTTTTGCGCTCAATGCAACGAGGCAAAATATTTTACCTTTAATTTGGCTTTGATACGTTTGATTTTCGCTCGACGAATGAATAATTAGGTAGCAATCCAGCTCGACCGGCAGACCCTTTCATTTCAGCTCTTTAGACCTGGATACATGAATTAAATTATACTCGTTGTACAGAAACTAAGACGGAGGACAGTGGGGCTCAAAATTGAAGATGAGTAAAATCTGCACCACGTGTACCATTGATGGCAATCGCTTTCATCTCTGGATTCGATTCGCTTCTGGCTGACATAGAAACGGCGCTAACTAAAAATGCAACAAATAAAATGTTAGTTGTCTTTAGCTTTTGACGTTGACAAGATCATTACGAAAGGCTACCTTTTAAACGACCTGTTTCAGTTTCACTTTCACCAGTTCCAGTTTTTAGGTTATATGCCTAGCGTTTGCGCCCGTCACAGACGCTTTTAGTTTTGGCCCGAGCTTCCTATATAAGATAGTGGAGATGCATATTTTAGGACTGGCAACACGGACCTATTGAATAATTATATAAGATATACACTTCAGGCTTGCTAGCCCCAAGTAAACGTAAAATCCGGCTTGTGCTGAAACAATATATAATTCAGTTCCACTATATTTCAAATTATAATAGTTAACGTTAAGACCCAGGTTACGTATACGTTGTGGTCCGATTATTTATTCACTATCAATAGAACATTGTTTCATAGGATTAATGTGTTTGCATTTCCGCACACACCGTAGAATTAAGTGTTATGAAGTTATGTGAGAAAAGCTTGCGTTCGTCATTCTTGAACGACTACATACATCTTAAACAAGGTGGTGGTATTTGCATTCTACGGATTTAGCTTATCTATCTGGCCGTTGATGTGACCCACGAAGGAAAACGCTTTGTAGCTGGAAACGATCAATTCGTTGACCCATTGCGGATTTCAGCCTCTATTCTAAAGTGCTTGCTTTTTCGGCCATGCTGCATCGACCGAAACAAGTAACGATCAGATGAAGCAATACCTGGATTGTATGCCTTGTGAGGCACAGTTTCCTGTTAGAGGTATGTTTGCGCTAGATCTGTTTTGTTCACCTTACTCTTTTCTCACGTCTTACACTTCCTGAAGTTCCTTTGCGAATCTCTTTTTCCTGCTCTTTCAAGTTCTTCTTTCTTGCGCATAAACGATCTCGAAAAAGGTCATTTTCTTTTTCCCACACCTCTATGGATCCAAGCACCTGATTAATAGGGGCCATGATTCAAAACGTACCTTGCAGTATTCCTCTATGCCCTTTTCGAAGGGTTTCACATTCAAGTACAATATGATGCACTCCATCTGTCTAACCTGAAACGCATATAACGCGTATGTCATGCTGCGCTCTTCATTTTTATTCTATAGGTTAGGCACTGATTGTGTACAATCAATACCTGCTTGAGCTCACATTGCTGGCATACCAAATTCGCGGGTCCGAAATGAACGATCCTGTTTAGCTTTGTGGCATGTTTTGTTGCTTTGGTGGCTAAACACAGTGCGCTACAGAGTACTACAGAGCGTATTAGACATTTGCTGCTCCTTTTAGACCGCCATCCAGAGCAACCTAAAAACACTTGTTGTTTTTTTTCTGAATGCGATTGCCCTCTACTTCCAGCGCCACTAAAATGCCTCGCTCCACACTCGCAAAGGAGCTTGATACCGATGGTATTTTTAGCACAGCATCCGTTTTCAACAGCGCGAACCTTTATTCCGGTTCATCTCGCTGCAGGCCATCTACAATCGGATCATTAAGATAAAGTCCAGAACATCAACCGATTCTAACAGGGCTGCAAACCTCTCGCATAGTGAAAGACTTTTGCTGTGATTCTGTAGGAATTACTTGCTGCGACGATTTCGTCAGATTACAAGGATTTCGTACGGCACACTTCTGAATAGCCTCAATTGTACATATATACGTAGTTCTGCTTACCATATTCGAGGGACATAAAACATCTAGTTCATACAATACAGACGAAATCGATCGACTTCGCCAAGTTATATAATTAAGGGGTTTAGGCGTTCATTAACACATATTTGTAATTTTCGGTTTAATAACTTCTGTTGGCGACAAGTCTTCGCGAAATTACCGAAAAATTACTTTCGTCATAAGAAATAATTCGATGTTGGGGTCGGATGCGTAAAATGTAATTGAGTTTACACTTCTGGTCCTTGTTGGTCATTTTCGGCATCTAGTTCAAATAGAACGAAAATTGACTAGACTCGAAAAGAGCCAGTGACCACCACAGAGTAGATAGAATTTAGCCAGAAGTCGACTGCAGCATGTTCTGTACTCTTAGACACCTAGTCGGAAAAAATATGTACAGCTTTTTAGTAGGAAAAGTAGCTAATAGTGAAACGCTGAAGCTGTGAAAAGTTCCAAAGCGAGGCTTTAGCTAGAGGCCAATAACGTTTAACGGAGAATCCTTCATAATTACGCCCCATGTATCTTACAGGAAGCTAGTTGTCCAGTAAATGAGACTAATTTCAGCCTGAATACTAAACGGCCGCATATGCACGCCTACTTCTGTCTCAGCAGCATATTTGCCCCTGGAGAAAAAGCTAACTATTTACAGCCTCACATTATAGGTGTGCGAAGTGTATAATAATAATAAGTAATCCATAAATTTAACACAAATAAACTGCTATCTCCGTTTCATTCCAACCTAAACTACATGCAAATATAGACACATTTCATATTCAGTCCACTGGCAAAATGTTTTTCATTGATATTTTATTATAAGCACTCTTATCCTCACCTGATCGTAGTCGATGTAGCATTAACTAGTGCAATAGAAACAATCTTACGGAACTTCGAGATTGTTTTATAGAGTTAATCAAAACTATACAACTGAAACGTTTTTTGCCGTTTCCGGAGCAGCGAGCCACCACCTACGATGACATTTTTTCCAACAATACGCATTACAGTTTTTGATAGCTTCTCGAAAAGCTTGTTAGCAATATAATAACGTACAAACAATGAAGTCGTGATAAAAATGACATCAAACAGTAGCAAGAAACAAAGCGCAAAACTTATGGACACGTGGTAGGTCACTAGCTAGATATACAGTAAATACATTAGTGAACGCCCGCAAATAGGGCTGGCAAATCGGGCGTGATACATCCAAAGCGTTGAAAGCACTTTTTCCCTTAGGTAACGCGTTCATCTAGTGTTTATTAATTATATTTACACGACAAGGTATTGATGAACATAATATCGAGCAAGTTGTTGGTTTCCTGAATGTAAGTAGATCCTTGAAATGTTATAAGCAATCTCCATTCTGAGATCAAGCATTCCGTCTATAGAAGGTACAGGAGGCGCCTGCAATAGTCAAGAACCAACCATATTTAAACAAAAAACATGAACAATACCTTTGCTAGATATACAGTCAACAGTAAAAATGCATATTAACAGAAAAATGTCGGCCTGATTATTTAGTCTGAATGAACGAAGTGATTTGCTATTAAATCTCGTAACTCCTTAACTTTCACCAGGCAATAAATGTCTGCTTTTGGCGCGTCGGCATATATTTTCGTCGTACGCTCGTCTTCAACGGAAGTTGCCTTACAAAATTTTAAATTGCGACTGGGGGTATCTGCGACGGTCGCTCAGTTTACAAGTGTCTTGCACAAACATCGATAAGATTACGGCATCCGGTTATTTCGCATTAATTTATCCATCATCCGTTCCCCTTGACTCGATAATCTGGTATCTTCTGATAAATTTTCTAAACTAAATAAACTTGTGTTACGTATTTCCGTCGTGTGAGTTGAAAAAAAATTGAAGGTATCGCACCTTAAGCGCTTTCTGGTAGAAGTGTAATGCAATGTTAAGCATGCCGCACTGGTGCGCGAGTCGGGCTGTGTTGTATAGTGTCTCCTGGGAGCCTTCGCCACGTTGTCTCACGTATTCAGCGCAAAACGTAATCGCATGACAAAGGAGGCCATAACGATTAGCTGTAAGGCAAACCAAGTAACTGTTATGAGTATACAAAATGGCGTGCACGAAATATTTCAGCAAGTCAGCCTTATTTGACATTGAACTTCGGAATCTATGGTAGATCTTTAATGCTGATTTGCAGTGTTTGATAAAAAAAATATGACACATACACGCACCACGCATTTGTTTTACAATATTGACGAAGTTTAATACGTCGAACGTAAAACCCGAAACGTAGAGGTTAGGCTTCTGAGGCGGTCCCGCACTGGCCTAGCTATCTTAGGTGACAATTTTAGGAGGCCAAAACTAGCTATCGGCGACTAAATAAATGATTGCTAGTTATGTATAGTTAGTACATATAGCTATTGTAAAGATGCGTCATAAAATGCAGGCAAATTTTCGTAAATGGCTATGAAATTAATTCTGTGCATCGAGCCACACGTAAAGTGCTGTGCTTAAATTAGAAAGACACATGTAAAACTACTGTGCTATCTTCCTACGATCTAAAGTTGAACGTGTGCGTTTCAATAGCATGAGCCAACCTGGAATTGCCCGGCGCTTAAAAGACAGACAACCCTGTACTTTGTGTGTGTAGTAGCTAACACGCTTGGGGAAACTCGGAACTAGCAACTGTTGGCGTTAATCAATGGTGCGAACAACAGTAGCAGCAACGACGACGACCACACGAGCTAGTACGCTTTACAAAAAGGGCACAGAAATACGAGACCCAAATGTCATTTAGGTAGCTGTGGTCGTCGCTTAGTTCTCGTTAACGTACCACAAGTTTTTTGCAGAGCTATCTGCAGGTAGGCGATGGCTATGCAGAGCGTCACAAGGGGAATAACCTCAGCTGGGCAGTCTCCTCGCTCGAGGAGGAAAAAGTACTCGGCTAGTGCATGCCGGTGCGAACCCAATGTCAGAGCGTTATGTCCGTTGAAGAGGCAAAGTTCGAGGGAGTCAGGATTCATACGAAGTAATCTAAGAATAAACCTAAACATAGACATAAACGTTTAAGCAAAACAGCAAGTCACTACAAATGATGACGAAAAGAATCTGTCAATTGCCAATCGATTACTAGTTGCATATATTTGCATACTTAAAAAAATACAAATGATAAAGAGGTAGTTGAGGCTTTTTCAATCCAATTGATTGTTATTATTGTAAGTAATATAGATGAAGAATAGCTTCATATGCAACAATCGCAGCTGGGCATAATTTTTCAAACTCTAATCCATGCTAAACAAGTTTTTACATAAAAACGTACTTATTATGTCTGACAATAAGTGTCCGATTGACGAGAATATTGAATATATTCCATAATCTCCGACTCAATGGATTACTTCGACAGAGAGTCCGCAAGGCCTAAAAAACCATCAAAGACATCAGACCCGCATTAGAATAGCTCTCATCTCACGCTGACGTAAACTATGTTGCCATGTAGTCAACGAAAAAGTTATTTTTTTCGTTTATATACCTGAAAGCAGACTTCGTCAAGCCGTAGGCGCATTGCTCCAACTAACGTAATCAGGTGTAGTAGGTAACTGTCCTGCAGCGAGTCATGGAGAGCGTAGATAATTGAGGCTCGAGAGCAGATATCCAAATAAAGTTCGAGTTTTCCTTCCCGGAGCAAATAAGCCAGTGCCTGCATTCATCGTACATTTTAGTAATCGAATAAATCTATTTTCTAAGCTAATGAACAGAATACGTTAGGAAAACAAATGGTCGTTAACTAATGCAGCGGGTAACGTATATGCAAAGAGGTTACTGAATAAACCTTTTATAACGTTCAAAATTAAATTATCTTAAATTAAGAAAATTAAAAAACCACATGAAATTGAACAAGTTAACATCTGCCTTTGATGCCTAAAGGAGGGAATTTTTTTTATTTAGGACGATAGGCTAAAAAATCCCCCCACTTCCACCCCGAAAGCAATCGTTTTGATCACCTGAATGCAGAGACTTGATATCTAAGTTGAATATATGATTATTCGAGACAATTGGCTCCTTGATGATTAATTACTTACCTACATTACCTGAAGCATATTGCGATCTATAACAGATATGGAAGTTCGGTGAAGATGCATACATTATTTTACCTTTTTTATATGTGCGTGAAACTCCGTTCTGTTCGGCCGATATGAAGGAAAGTCATCTATAAAAAAATAAATATATGGAAATATTGTCGTTGCCGCCGCCCAAACAATCCAACTGATTTTCGGTACTAGTGGCTGTTAAGCTTAAAATACGCGAAGAGTTCCAAATATCTTGTATTTCCCTAATGCTCTTAGTTAATTTTTTTAAAAAAATACTTCGAACTTCATACTAACTTGGTATGCCTCTCTTTGCAAGCTCTGCTTTGATGAAGTCTATTCGGCCTTTTGCCTGTGTCCATTCACACAGCATCGGCAACTTCAGGTCTTCAGGCAGATAAACCGTTGCCAAAGAAAGTAGCCGAAACAAACTCCCACAGAACTCATCCATATCTTCTGTAATTGTAAAATTAAAAAAAAAAAAGAATTATAGACTGATTGATAGTTCAATGACACATATTACTATAGCTGATTTCTTAATATGCCGTAAACAAGATGCGGTCTACATTTAAAAAACAATAAAAGACAAGGCCTAAGGATGAGTTGAATGCTATTTTATATCTCTGAACACAACTAAAATAAATTCAATGAATAAGTTAAATTTAGTAAGCTATTCTAGAAATTCCGGTTCTATCATTGTACTTCAAGCTTTCTTCTTTAGAGCAGTAGCTCCGCTAGCAACACAGATTAGCTAGCAACTTCTCTATTTATGGCACAGTTCAACTTTAATCGAACTTCCCTATGTCAGTCCCATGTAGCCATGTTATAACAAGGACTGCTTAAAAATATTAAAACTGATAGTAACGAGAACAATAAGAAAGAATGAAAAGACGCCGTACCCCCTGCCAGAGCTAAATCAAATCTCCGTTTGACAAGTTTCAGATCGCGCGTCTCACGAAGAACTTCGCTAGCCTGACGTTTACGGCCTATACTTTCAAGGAACTTCGAAAACATGAGACGAGCATCAGCATGGTCTGGAGCCATCTCCAGCACTTTTTCATACGCCTTAAAATCAAAATCGACATGATCAGAACTACGTCAACATCAATTAATGCTGCGCAGTATAGTTGCTAATGGAATACATTCTAATTCCCTACTCGTTTCAACAATCACACTTCTACAAGAACTGACGCTTAAAGGTGGCGTTTGGTGGATTTGGAGGCATAGTGATGTAATTTTCGTTTACTTCAGTAGTTTACTGCCAACCAACATATCATATACATCTCGAGAAGTCGTAGGCTCACCATAGTGAAACGAGTTAAAATAGTGAAAACAGCGCCACAGATCTTTGAAAAAGCAATGTATCGCAAAGTCAACTGGATTCGCGTGCTTCAAACGCATGCTTGGAAAGGTTTTTGAAGTCTTGAGTCCCGCTCCATCTAAGATCATTAATTAATAAAAATTTCAAATTTTTTAGTTTAATGCATTAATCCGTCAATTTTTTAATGATTTTTTTTCCATGAATGAACATTTCCCAAATTAAAATTTTATGCCAACGTATGTTAAGCATTAAACAATAGAATGATTGTAAAAAAATGTACCCATCGTTGGCAGTTATTTGCATAAGCGAGTTTAGAGTGCACCGAATGGGACCGTTGTCATTTGAATTATAACAGTGTCTACCTGAATAGCATTTTCGGTCTGTTCTGGATCCTTCACAAGACACTGCGCAAGAAGCCACCAAACTCCTGCAATGTTAAACCGTTGTGAGCGGAGCAAGAGATCGCAGAGCTCGCGAGCAACACCTACTTCTCCGCTTTGTTCGAACGCTTCCGCCATATCAAATACGAGATCTCCCATAACCTTTTAGGAACAAATTGCTGACATTTACTTTATGTTACACATTTATTAGACATTCTACGATTCTGGAGAAGTAAAGCAGGAGCGATTTAGATACTATATTTTGCCGCACAGCTATTGTTATAGATGTTCTTTACAAAAAACCACTGTACAAAATTAGAGATTTATAATATAATATATAATTTATGACAAGCATATGGCGTAGACTAAATGCTTGAGCAATATTTTAGTCAATGAAAATTGCCTTAGAAGTAAGTTTTCTTTTCCACAGCTGAGTGCAATGCTTAGATATTACTAACTTCGATATCTCCGTCGCGGGCTATAGGGCCCATTATCTCCTTAGCCAAATGGACACCTCCCAAATGGGCCATGCAGATGACGGCCTTAGCCAATATATCCAGCGGCAGCTCAACCAGGCGCACAGACTTGCAATTCAACAAGGAAATTTTCGTATCCGTCGGAGTATTTTCGTCACTGAACTCTTCCGGTATCGGTGTTAATTCAACCCCACAGTGCGATACCAGAACGCGCATCGCCTTCGAAAACTGTTTTGCTTCCACCTGTATATTAATATGATCGTAGACGACGTCATTAACTCCTAGTCGAATCAACATATACCTCGCATCTAAATGTTCTAAATAAATGTATGTTATATATACTATATATTTAGCAAGATGTGAACGAATGCGGTATATAATAGCAGAGCAAGGAATACACAGTTCATACTTCTAATCGTATTTATACTAACTTGAATTTCGAGAAGCATGTGGACGTCCTCGGAAGAGATCGACTGCGGAAAACGTTGAAAGGCCAATTCTAGCACCTCAGCCCCTTTTTTTGGCTGAAAATTTTCCTTGTAAATTTAGATTAGCGAGTCCAGGTAATCCGCCTCAGGTACAGTTAATTGTGTAAAAATATGTCGTCTTCGAAAATAAAAAACTTCTTTGATTTGAACTGGTATTACATAGTGCATTGCCAGCTACACAGATATGCGTGTGCTAATATGTTTAAGTAGCAAGGTTCTGCTTCAAAGAGTTATTCTATTCTTGTTCTAGCTATGTTTTCCATACTTTGGATTATATCATTTACCTTTCCATACTTGTACTGAATTTGCGCAATAGTTCTAGATAGCTGAATGCACATTTGCGCCTGGTTTTCCGAAAATCGGGGAATAACCGCAGCTCCATAGCGAAAACAGTCTAAATGGTTGCCTAGTTCGCTGGCCAGAGTCACAATATCCAAATAGAACTCAGCGTTGTCAGGATCTGCTTTTACTGCCTTTTTAAGGCAGAGGAGGGCTTGTTCACGGTCGCCAAGGTCGATGCTCCAAGTCGCTAAACGGTGCCACTCTTGGGCATCTTTTGGACGAAGATATGCCCCAATCATTGATACTTGCAGTGCTTTTAGGTCATCACCTTACAACGAAATAGTTACAAATGTGTCCTATGATTAACGTCAAATAAATCTAAGGATGCTTTCCCAATCAAAATGTAGCTGTTATCTTAAGATAACTTTTGAAAATCTATCAGACAGGATACCTTGTTGCATGTAAATCGTTCCGAGAGTCTTATATGCATCGGCCGCATCAGGGGCTATACGAATAACCTCCATACATTTCTCAATAGCTTTATCTAGACATCCAGCTGCCAAATGCAGCGACGCTTGACCCAGAGAGCCTTGTAAGTCACGTGGCAGTTTCTTGAAACGACGAATTCTTGGGCCTCTGGTCGGTGTCGGTTTCTGGAAAAGCACAAATAATATTTCCCATAATAAGTTAGTAAAAATTCTATGCATTTTTTTCTAACTATAGTTCAATGAAAAATTTGTAATGGCGGACTTTCACCTGCAAGCTTTCCAGAGGCCTCTCAAAAGTACTCTCAGACAATATTCATATTAGAAAAATGTTTGTCAATTACCTTGGTTTCAGTCGTTTTTCGCGTACTCGTCGCCGGTTCATTGTCAGCTTCAACGTCCGAATCGGCACCAGAATTCTCACCTTCGTCATCTTCGACGTCCATTTGTTCGGCGAAATCAGTAAAACTTATTGTCCCTGAAATGCAAAGCAACTTATTCTCAATATAAAAATATTGGGTGAAATTACGATATTGAAAAATATGGCGAAAATACCTCCGACAGCTGCATTGAATACGTATTGCATCAGATGCGTAAAAAGTTGCCGGCTAATTATATTCCTCTTCGGTGTCTATAAACAAGCAAGGGCTGGCAGCGATCAATAGAATAGCGTGTGCACTTTGTAATAATGAAACGCAACACCTTGGAATAAATAGTCTCCATTTGTCCTAAAAATTTACGGTCAAAATGAGGAGTCGATTACGGTGAAACTTTGCAAATCTCACAGAAAGCCTGGACGACGACTCTCCTTGGCACGGGAAACACTGAGGCTCATTTGCACACAGGGTAAAAGTCGATCTAAACGAATAAATCGCAAACATATGGAGCACTGTATATGCCGATCTAACGGTCTCAATACCACGTCATGATCCACAACTTGGCCTACTGACGGGCACCCTGAAACTCATTTGAAAGCGAGAGTTGCATCTTCATACCCACAAAGTACACTTAATCAACAAATATCCAGGACCATCACTAGTGTCCTTCGCCCGCCGATCATAAGATGAAAAACTCGTACTCAGAACCCAAGGGCGAGTGTCGAGCAACCGTTTCGGTCACAAAAGTTCTTAAAGTCATGTAGCTCATAAAGCCGGAAGTGCCACTAAGTTACTTTTATTCAAAAACAACAAGAAAACGGCAGTAATCATCAATGGCGAACTCTTTCATGACTCATTGGAAACGCTCTCGAGGACATTAAACGCAAACAATCTTCGCTTTTAACAAGATGAGGCAATCGCGCTGTGTGGCAAATACGGCGACCAACCTGTTTGAAGCCAGGTCTCCAGGCGTGCCGATTCCGGTACGTGAGAACAGGTGGCTTCTGGGTAGTGCAATTTAACCGCTCTCGATTTGTCTAATGAATCTATGGATAGGACCGAGTCTACAAAGCAACGCTGAGGATAATCAACGGCCATAAAAATAGCAACTGGTAAAACTGACGTTGAACTACGCAGGGCTGAGATTACATGAAAATGATCAAGCTATGCGGATGGTACCCAAGGGAACGTTAGCTAAGATTGTTTCCGTGGGTAGTTAAAAGTAAACCTGGGCTAGGCTAACGTAAGAATAAAACAAGCGCATATATAGTTCCCTTTGTTTTCTATTCAGGAGCATCGAATCTGCCAGCGACTTTTTGCGCGCCTGATGTAATCGGATGAACGATGCTCTTCGAGGCCAGATACCGAGCTCTATTGGGGAGCAAATTGAAAGGCGACCTAGCGTAATACTGAGAAAAGAAATGGTCTATGCTTTTTCATTGAGGAATTCGTTCAGCTCTTTACACTATCACTCTCGCTGGTATTGAAAACTCGATGGAACTTACCAAGTGTAAGAAATTTTCCGTAAAATAATTTTATGAACTATTTTGATTATTGTTTCCAAGCATACTATTAGTGCAAGCCATGAAATTGTCTACAGCAACTAGAATATTCGTTCTCATTTGATTGAAAGTTTTGCATTCAACCAAGGTGCCATGATTTTATGACTCACAACATAGCATAGCACGATCAAGAATCCAGTCTTCGTACGGGTCTAGTGTCAGTCATGACCCTTCACTCTGACTCCATGTATTGATAGTGTTTATAAATTTCAGCTAAATAGTTAAATATTAGTGAGTATTTAGGAGCCTACCTTCAAGGAAATTTCTAGTAATCTCATAAGCGTCGTGTGGAATAGTCGAGCCCAAGGGGTCATCAGATCGACTCTGCGAAGGACCGTCCGGTTGTTCCTCACCGCTAGCGTGTGAGTCCCTTTCGAGCTCTCGCTGAGTTCGCCTTTCCCTGGCAAGTCTTCGCAATTCTGCAGCTCCTACTTCATAATCTTTATCCTTATCATCATCTCGATAATCCTGCCATTGCAAGTACAAAAACAAACGGTAATGTATGAGACAATACTATTAATTTGTTACTATTTGCAAAAAAAAACCCTATACATTAGCGTACGGCGCTTTACGATGCCAAAGGTATTAAGGTTTTTATTGTAATTGATATAGTTATTTTAAAAAGCTCAATTAGCAAATTACATTTTGCATCCGTTATCAGTTACATTTACATTTTAGTTTCCTTAAAAAATGAAATTTGGGTTCCGAAATAATCCAAACCATTATATGTCAATTTATTTGACGATACTATCTGATTGGTCCTTGTGATGATGCAGTGGTAGCACGTTTGCCTAACTTTTAGACACGTACAATGGCATAGGCTCAAAGCTGGCCATAGACAAATGTTGTTTTTATAGGAAGGAGGCAACCGCCTGAAGCAATGCTTCAGCGGTATTGGACGTAAAGCACAAAATATGTTTTTAGGTTTAGATAACTAACTTCGCTCTCTGACGATGATGAGTCTAATCCGACGAAGTCATCCTCCAGGGGTAACCTTGCCCCTGGACGTCGACGTGCGATTCGTCGAGCTTTCTGGTTCAAAGCGTCGGGCAGCTTCTGTATTACTCTGGATCGAAAGCAAATGCATACGATGCAATGTGATATAGTACACGCTAGTTTTGATTCATTTTTGGAAATCAGATTCAAATATGCCGATTGCTGACTCTCTCACACGGCCCAGAATACGCACAAAGTTGATCCGACGCACCTGCTAATCGCTTCAGTCTCATCGACGACATCAAGCGACACTTCGTTTTGATCGTCGTCATCATCAGCATCATCGTAATCGTCGTTAATCTCCATCTCTTCAGGATCATCTTTACCGTTTTCAGCATCAACTTCAGCTACAGCTTTACGTATCTCTTCGAGTCGCGGGTCCTTCAGCGATCCAAACAGGGCTCGAAACGGGTCGTCATCCATGGCTGTTTACTGAGTCGCTTTCGTCTGTAATTTAAATTTGAAGAAAGACCATCTTTTTCAACTAGAACAAACACCTTTCTTCTAAAACACTACCCTTAATACACAAATTGAAACTGAATTCGTATTATGTTGCAAATTTGGATAAAAACGAACATGTTTACCGTTTCGAAAGATTCAATTTATATAACTATGCGTAGCTATTGGATAAAGCTGAGAACGAAGCAGACATGATCACCGATCAAAGTTTATGCTTTTAAATCGGGTTAAGTCAACTAGCTTGTAATTAGTTAAATAGAATGCTCATAGCAGTAATTCAACATTAGATGTCAACTACAGCACAACAATCAACCTCAATCTAAACTCAAGAGTCAATTCACTGAGCTCATAAAAGGACAAAAGTTACCATACCTGTACTGTTCCTTCACAGGATCCTAGCTGACATCTAAATTACCCCCTGTCAAGCGTGAACGACCGTCTAACGTTCTTTCACTTTAAGTTCATCAGTTTACTTTCAGCTGACAGGAGTATTTGGGGGCCTTCTTGTTGTTTGTAAACAAAGAAAGAGCAGCTAAATTTTGAAGACTTCGGGCCCGGCGCTGACCTGAACATAAAAATGGTTTGTTTATAACAAAAACCACCTTTATAATAGCTACTTGTATCGACTAGCTTATTATTAAATATTAGATCTCTCGAGCTAAAGTGCATTGTACAAGCACAGAACAACAGACGCATATTTGCTTTTAGTATGCACGTTACTGTTTCCGACAGTGCATTAGGCTTCGTGTCCATGTAAATAGCAGCGACCTTTTGTTAGTGAACACTTTTCAGAAATGATCGACGGTATTCGAACATACTTAAAGAGGACCCAGGTAACAATATTGCGGTATTTCGCGCTGCAGCTGCTGCAGAGTGTAGTTTCGTATAACATTTAGGCGATGCTTCGACAAGTCAGTCAGAGATGGGCTTTTGGATTGGCTCTTCAATGGGAGCGCAGTTCGGTGAGATTTGTAGGCAGAGTTCCCCGTGATCCCGACGAACGACTAATGCAGCAGGGCCACGGTCAACTCAGTCTGCTCGAGAAGTACATGAGCGCGAAGCAGGCTTGTGAAGGTACAAGCGATTTATTCTTATGTGATATATTTTGCACGTATTGAATCATGTGGCTATATACATGTGTGTAAAATGGTCAGTCGTCCTCCCCAATAAATTCACGTATCAACCTTCAAATCTAATTTCGGTAATATTGTGGGATTGTGACTTGGCAACCAATGAAGTAATATAAACAATTTTTTTAGTGGGGTTTTTTGTCTTATCGAGAGTCGCTATCGGAAATTTTCCTTTGTTTATTACCGTCGCTCTGATCCCTAGGTCTTATTGCTTCGATTTCATAGAAACATGGTACTAGAAGGTGATTTTTCCATGTGCTGGAATATACAAGGTATCAAAAAAATGTACACACAGTTTGAATAACTACAACTTCAGATGTTATTTATGTTTCATAAGATATTTAAATTGCAAATTATTCTGAGGAAAATGTGTAACCTTTTATTGTACGGCAGATATTCCGTAAATGATTACCATTCTGACATTACTAATAACGACGGGCTATTGATTCACAAACTTCACTAAACATTTTATATGATATTGTAACCAATTCTAGGTTAATTACGTATTAGACATTTGCCAGTGTTGTCGGTTTCCTGACTCAGATCTCATTTTAAGGTATCCCCACAAGAAGAAGTGTTAAAGTACGACCGCTTCTTCCTATTCATCTAGTCAAAAGATTCTCATCAAAAGACGGTCATACATGACAATGATAGGCTGCAGGTCCTATTCGAAATAAAATTTGCGAGTTTAATCAAAATCCATATCTTTTTTCTAGATTTAACTGTAAATATGTACATTTTTAGGCGCCGTGTACTTGGCTTTTATGTACAACGAGTACATTTGTAGACAACTTGCTAAGGGAAAAAATTGAGCTTATTTTTACTCTACATATATAGCAGCATAGCAGCAATGCCAGTTTTGCGTAAGCTCGAAGCTGACATAGAGACGATGAGCTTTGACTTGACAAATAGGAAATTTTATAAACAGAATACATCTAGGTAGACGACTATGAATCTTCAATCGGTTTACTGGAGATAATAGCCATAACTCCTGTTATGTTCAGTGATAAATTCAGATTAGGGCCATTGATATAAAAAACTAATTGGTTGTGTGGCAACAATGTGCTTTTTATTATCATTGTCCAACCGCTGCCATTTTGACTTCGTTACCAAAAGGTAATGAAGGCTAAGAGAAGAAATGGCTGCAGAATATCTACTGAAAACTGGCCTCTCTTCGTACGACTACTTTAATTTCCGAAGCCTATACAGAATGGGGTTGACAAAAAAAATGGCCCTAGGCCCAGAATGTAGAATATAGAACTTGAAAATATTTTATAATGTTGGAGCATTGAGGCTAAATGTGCATGCATCTTTTCGGTACATCGGACTTTGCATTTCTTGTCAGTTTTGAAGCAGTATTTTTAATATTTTTTTTTATCTATTGTGAAACGTATCTAATGTAACTGTGTACCCTCTTAAGATGTCCAATATTTGGTGAATTTCACTCGTCTTCCATTCTTTGCTTGGTAAAGATTTTTACTGTTCATTCGTAGTTCCTGTTTAAAATCACACCTATTCTAGCCAATTATAACTGCCCCCTAAATAGATTAAGAATTGATTGTTGTGATTTTTATTTTTTCTGTTCTTTGCCATTTACTGACAAGTGCTTGTCAGACAAATAGATTCGTCCATCGATTGTTGGACAGTCGGAATTTATTACCCAGAATTGCTATTCGTTTATGTGTACCGTCATTAGTTCGACTGGAATCGGGCTACGCTTTTTAATAAAATGAATAAACGTTACGTATTTGTTCGTGCTAGCCTCATATACTTCATACATGATGCATTAGAATTATGTGCGGCCAGTGAATCAGTATAATAGTCAAGAGAGATTAAGTTATGTGAAATTTTATTTTGATATTTGTGTGACAAACTTATTTATAGCCATGCCGACACCTGAAGTAAACCCATATGGAGTGTTTGCTAATAACGAGCTCAATCTGAGTGGGATCAAGGTTTACGGCTTCGATTATGATTATACGCTAGCCGTCTATACGGGTCAATTGCATTATCTCATTTATGATCTCGGACGCGACTGGCTAATCAATAAATTTAAGGTGAGATCTCGTCCTATTTATTAACACATTGGACCAATTGTCGAATATTGACGGTATTAACAATGGAACTAAAAAGCTTGTCTGATAACGAAATCAGCCTCCTTAAAACGGAGCTTGATTTCGCTCAATTAGCAGGACACGAAATAGTTACCTTCGAGCTAATGAGTCGATTGCAAATCGGGTCCATTACAGTATCCCAAGGGTATTGGTGAGTTGGAGTACCGGCCTGGTTTTGCCATTCGTGGTCTACATTACGACATCAAGGAGGGTATATTGATGAAGATCGATTTGTTTCATCAAATCCAATATGAATCTGTATACCGTGGTCTTACTCCGCTTTCGCGGGAAGAGATCGAGAACATTTATGGAGGAAGCTATATTCCACAATATATGATTCGGGCAGGAAACGAGGTAAAGGCTTACTTTAGTTTTGTTAATTTAGAAATAAAATTGCTCAGTATTCGTAAGATTAAGTTTTTTTTTCTCCTTTTACTAACGGTAAAAATTACATGTTTATTTTTTTCCAGAAAAACCGTACGAAGCAATTAAACGACCTGTTCTCTGTGCCTGAAATCTGTCTAATTTCAAATGTAACAGAGTACTTCATCAAGAATAATATCGCTTTCAACCCTGAGATTTTGTTTTACGACGTGCAAAATGCGGTAGGCTCAATCCACCCAGTCATTCACAACATGTTCAATGAGAGTAACATTGGCACCTACCTGGAAAAGTATCCAGAACTTCGAACGTTCCTACAACGTCTCAAGGAAAATGGAAAGAAGATGTTTATTGTGACCAATAGCCCATTTAAATTTCTCGATGTGGGGATGCAGTACATGCTAGGAGAAGAGTGGCAGGAATTTTTCGACGTTGTCATCGTACAAGCACGCAAGCCCAAATTCTTCACTGAACAGTTGAGGCCATTCCGGATGTACGACAAGGAAACAAAGAGTCAATTGTGGGAGCGTGTCGTCAGGCTCAAGCAAGGTTCGTTTTTTAAGTGTCGCAAGTCAAGTTTTCAGTCAGGTCAATTTTGCTCCAAACAATTCGGACACGCTGAAAAGCGGATGCCAATACATTACACGACCAAAGTGCATCTGCTACATTTGAATACGAATGAGTGGCAAGCTTATTTCTTGCAATGCCAGTAAAGACAGATTTGTTTTTGCAGGAAAAGTATATGTAGAAGGCACAGTTAACCAACTCCAACAAATGACAGGCTGGGTGGGCCATTCTGTGTTGTATTTTGGCGACCAAATTTATAATGATCTTGCTGATCTAACCCTCAACTATGGATGGAGAACTGGTGCCATTCTTTACGAGCTCGCGGTACGTATAGATACAGCAATCAAGTAACAAAACGACTAGCAAATAAACAATAATTATGTATTAATAATTAACAGTAATCATTGTTAATCTCAGAACACACGTCTCTCAATCAGATTTTATCAGGATTTGGATGGATATCAGCGAATGGAACTAATTTTTGAGACTATTCCGAAGCTGAGGTTATTCTACAATAATCTGTATTTTAAAGCGTAATACACTGTCACGCAGTTGTTAATTTCATCGATGCAAAATAGAACAGTTTTCTTTGAATGTATTTTTCTTTAAACCTTGTATAATAGATGCCGAAAGCTACTATCCCAGAGACAACCTCTCTATGTTTCAAGTTTTACGTCCGGTGTCACCGCTAAGCATAAGTTGACTTGCAAAAGTTTACAAACTACGTTTCCACCGCGAGCCCATTTACAGTCCCCAACCAAAAGCATGTCGGGTTGGTCGAAAAATACATCGATGCGTTAAAAAAAAACTACCAGCTCGAGGTCGACGTCGCGCACCGGAATTCTCCCGTTGCGCTAAAAATTCGCGGCAAATCTCGCGCGTATATTTTCACCGTGGGTCCTGTAAGATACAGCTTATTCGAGGATGAGTGATAGATCCCGTAGGTGCTTAGATTTGTTCAAACTTTCGATACGAAATTCCTCTGGCAGCAACAAGCCTTAGCAAGCTACTTAGTTAAGATAGTTTTACTTAGTAAAAAAAGTGAAGGAGTCATTACAGAAATAAAGCTCAATTCAGCCTAGTAGGGCTTTATTTTTGAGTGGAAACAAGTGCGTCGAGGACGGTGTATCACGCTTCACAATAATTAGCAGTCGATGGTTTCGATAAACTTTGTTCCCTAATTTCTTTTTTGCGGTCCTTAGCACGAAATAAAAACATCGAATTCAGAGGAGTTTCGCCATACAGCGAGTTGGTTGCAAACACTCCAGCATCTAATTGCGGATATGCAAGATTCAGCCGACATTCAGGTACGCTTGCTTTCTTAAATTCTGGTGCATGTATCATTGTGCCACTTACAGAAAAATGATTTGCCCTTAAAGTAATATGTAGAATACAGATCAATTCACTAATTAATGTATTTTTGCATTCCAGGATTTTATCGATACATTGCTCGAGGAACGCGATCTGCTTCGAAAAACAACAAAAAGTCTTTTTAATTCAAACTTCGGATCTGTATTTCGAACACATCATAATCCGACGTACTTCTCCCGACGGCTGTTTAGGTAAGTCCATAATGTGTGTCTGATCATCTAGACGCACCTATACTGCTGCGTGTAATGCTTTTTACATCGGATATTAGCTAAATTATTGCTTCTTATCTATCATTTTCAGATATTCGGACATATATATGAGTCACGTAACCAACCTGATGAATTACTCCCTTAACCATACCTTCTATCCTAGGCGTGGAGTCCTCCCCCATGAGTGCTATATCCCTCACAGCTAAGCGCACCTTTTCTCCTACTATTGCAATTGCTCCCAGTGCAAAATATTGAGTCGTACGAGAGAGAGTTCTCTGGCCAGACCGAATGAGACCAGACGGCAAGCAATATATATTTCTATCTGTGATGAATCTGTGTATGAAATTGTCTGTCTCACATTGGAATATGATTTTTAACCAAATAGTTAATTTTCACTATACCTGCTTATGGATTTAACTTGACAATGTGACCGTCGTAAATTTATTTTTGAATTCCCCTTTTCACTATTAATGTTATTAGAAGCTTTTTTCAATTTGTTTATAGGGTTTTTCATCATAGTAAGTCCTCTGACGAAGAACAATATATATCAATAACAAATTCCAATTACTATATATATATATATATATATATAGTATATTTTTTTATATTGTCTAAAGTACACGAGTGGAAAATCTGGTATCGTTCTTTTGTGCGCCCTGTTGATATAAACTATATTTACGCTATCTTTGAATATTGTTAGAAAATTTTTTCAGAGAACTATTTGACATTGGTTACCCTCACTATGAATCCCTGTGATTATATTAATGGGGTATGAAATAAAATAGTGCACTTGATGATGGAAATGAACAAACGTATAGGAGTTTTTGTACTAGGCGTGTACTTTTGCTGACATATATACGCCGTTATGTAGATAATAGTGGTTCTTAAGATGACCGCAATGGCAATTTGATGAGATAAAAACATGACATTTACTTCAACGACAGCTGCAGTAGATATCACCACATATACTCTAGCGTTGATTGCATCTACCTAATTTCTTGAAATATCATCAGCTTCGCATAATTTCGTCACTTAGGTGGCTGCAGATTTCGTTAGATTATATCCCTTTTAGATATCGGAATCGGCTTGTTTAGTAGAAGCGGTTCGAAGGTATTCGAGGAACTCGATTGCTATATGATGCCACTGAAAGTTCTCTACTTTCTAATTTTAGAGCTTTCTAATGTAAGAAAAAACAACAAAGTACTTGTATTGCTATGCGTTTATTTGAATTCGATGGCCTTCACGTCATGCGTTTAGTACGTTCATTTCAGTACGTTTGAGGATCACGTCTAATAACCGACTAAGTTACACGTAGTGCGTTCTTGCTGTATCACAGAACTCTGAATGGCTGAACCAGTTTTGTTTTGAAAAGAGTCGCGGAATTCAGGAACTTCCATAAAAGCTCTACATTTACTCGTTGTCAGTGTTATTATTACATATCGAACCCGATGAACCCGGTGAAATCTATTCAACAAATGCATGTATTAATTTCCTTGACACAGTTTGTTCAATGTATTTCGTGCCAAATACGGTTTTACTCAAAGTACTCAGCTGTACTAAACAGGACCATCTCGCCAGGATGCCCTCGTTGATGGGGTATATAGCATCGACATGTCCAATCGTAAATAGTGTACATATCCATTACTCTATAGAATTATATATTTTAGAATCGCAAATAAATTTAAACCCTTGTACTACAAAATTTCGCGGTATTTTCAGTGAATTTATTCTAATACACCAGATACACCGTACGTACACCACATACTGTAAGTAATTGTTTCCGCAAAACCGTTATAAAGCTGCGTCCCCGGCAGTCTTTCCAGCTGCGGTGATTAGACTACAATAAACAGCGGGCGCGTGGAGCATTGATTCTTCGGCGGACGCTGGGGTTTTCTACCTTCTGAATAGTTACAACAGCGAAGGGCCTGTTGTCTGGTGAGGGGTAAACTTCCCCCTAATGGGAGAGGGCAGCCCTATGCGCGCACACACATTAACCGGGTGAAAATTTTGGTTGATAGGAACGTCTAAATTCGAAACTTCGGCACCGTGCGGCAGTATCGGTGCAACAGCGGCGTCTTTTTTAGTGATCGCCTAGCGGACTTCGCAGGGCGTGTGGAACGGAACGGTCAGACAACCACTCTTGGACACCCATTGGCGCTAGTGATATTAATCTGTTGCTAACGGCCAACTCATTTACGTATAGGGATAGTGAATATACCGTTTGGTGCAGTTTGTCTTCACTTCCCACACTATTCCAAGTTCTTCAGGATCTGTACAAGTGGTCTGTAGTACTGCGACATCGACGTTGTTGTGTGAAAAATGCCGAAATAACTTTGTTGAAGTCCCACGAGAAGAGCGTCGAACGTATAGAGTGAATTTCGTTTCTACGATTTTCCATCACGTGAGTGCACACGGAGATTGAGAGCCTGGGGTTGAAGTGAGCATTTACAACTGAATAAATTCAAGGAGGCAGTAAAATATCTAGTAATACTGCATAGTAAGCGCGAGTCATTTATAATGTTGTTAAAGTATGTTACCTACTTCGTGCTCGTATGCGAAACGCAGTCGCTACTTGGCAGTGCCTCGGCCGAAAGAACTGTGAAATTTATACAAACTGACCTGTCAAACCGGAACCAGAATCTCACATGGGACACCCTAATGGGAAATATAACAGACGGTATCGGTAGTATTCTTAACCAAGCCTTACCTCATATTGTTCGCGCCACGTCCGAAATAGAAATTGGAGCCGATTGCACCGCCGCGATGTTTAAGTTCTTTCTTGAACTGCGTAAACTTACGCCATGGGCGCTCAGAAGTACGTATGATTTTTGTTCTTTAGTACAATGTAAATAACACATTTTGGCATCATTAATATCTCATAATCAATTCGTTTTTGCAGCGTATGTGATTTTTTGACAATCTGATCCTGATATGTTGACGAGATCGACTGTAATGTTACCGTCGCACCATCTTTACGGATATAAAATGTGTATATGCGAAATACAAAGCGGTCGTTTGTAACAGTCGGAGCGCATGTACAGGCTAGTGACACCCATAGCGCACTCTTGGGCCAAGAAAAAGCCGGAAGTGTTTTGCACCGAAATCATTGTTTGTTGTAGTTGAATTTATTCAACAATGCATCTTTTTCCCCAGATGTTTTCACTAGCGCAGCCTTCTGGTAACTTATATATATATATATATACAGATAAATAACTATATAGAGTATGTTAAATGATACTAATATTGCATGCCGATGTATTTGGTGACAAGAAATCTAATTTCATCACCAACAAACCTGTGCATAATGCTCAAAATACTTGCAACAAAACTACCTGTGGAAGGTGTGTCTTCATGATGTTTAGGGACCAAACGTTAATCGCGTTGAAGGCATTCATTGCGCCCACAAAATAGACACGCAACGGCATGCAAGGCCCACAATTTCTGACAAGCGCAGTTATGCTATTGCATCTCTAAATCAATAATACTATGTTTATACTTCATATATATATATGCTTTTATCGGTGTCTTTGACAACTCGTTTAAGTGAGGTCCTTACAGAGCAAATGTAAAAAAGAAGCAGATACATTTATATTCTTTTGTAAAGCCATTAAGAACCTGTAGCGCACGTTTTTATTATTGCGAATCAATACTTGATAAAAGTCAAATGTGGGCTCAGTTGCAGCGTAAAACTGCCGGCCTTACCGAAAATATTGTAGAAAAAAAACCCTTATTTTTTGTTTACACATATTCAGCTTGAATATCGTACGTGCAGGGTGTTGATCTACATCCATAAAGATGAGATTGCCGCCTTTGTTGTTTTTGTTGTTGTTACTATATGGTAAAGGTAATTGAAGAAGAATAAAAAGGTATCAGACTACACTGATATTATACCTATCTGAAGTCGTTACAGAGCGAACAGTGCGATATCAGCGCATGTCTAATCATACCTAGTGTATGTCAGTGATTATTATGTATTCATCTTATGAGGGAAGATTGCATGCTGCAAACAAAAGCTAGAGAATAATTGTGTATGAAAGCCATTTCTTATGAGAAAACGTTTGGCGAAATAGTCTACGAAAAAATACTTAATTGCCACAATCCTTTAGCTACCTTGTTTGAATGGAAAATAGTAGCTGGTCACCTTTTCTCATTTCATTGCTATTATTTTATAGAGACATACAAAATCGACTATTTGAAATGTATAAACATTGTCAGACAAATTTGAGTTAACAGTATCAGATACAGGATTAGTTCCCGAGGTAATCATAACCATACTATCTGTTCCCATCTACTTACCGAGATTTTTTTAAATAGCTTGCATTGTAGCAGTTCGTCATCACAATGTGCCATTTTCCGATATCTACGTTGGCTATAGTACATCAGATGTGTATATTTAGCCTGTTGTTTTGTTAGCAGTATTAATAGTATTATGATTAATTGTTTAGCACTAATCTTTATTACACATTAATAAAGAGGCAAATTTACAAAAGAATGGAGCTCTACTCCCATTAAAATGAGAAAATATCAGGAAAAAAATCAGCAAAGGTGCAATTATTTTCATGGCCAAATGTATTGCCTTTTTTTTGCCTTGTAACTACCATTTTCATCGTAAACATATTGCTTTTTGTGTAAAAGTTGTTTTTCTTGTTGTCATCAGTACACTTGGTTTATTACTTCTGATTGCTGTTTCTATGGCTGGTCATATGACGACGGACCACTTAGGCATTACATAATTACCCTGAGGTCCCATGAAAACATGCATGAGTCCAAGTGAGTCCAATGGTAATGTGTTTCGTCCTACTAAAGACGCGGGTTGGTCTGAGTTCAAATCTGAACGTACACGACTTTGGAAGGAGCCATCCATCTGAAACTATGCGTACCAGACATAAAGCTCGAAACATTGAACATGCTTTTAAGAGAGTCGTGGTCAAGGCTAAATGACACAGGCGAATACAAATGGAACGTTCAGTAGCTGCGTTTCGTAATTAAAGGCTCTCAAGCTTGGCAAACCAGGCCAAAGCATACTTTTATTTATTTCGTCGTGTGTAAACGTTACTCAACCGAGAAGCATTTATTAAATATTTTGGGCATTGATTGATGTTTCTAAGTGTGAGATGAATCAGTACCATCAAGCGCGGAAACAGGCTGACTCATCTTCACGTTTCATAAATTTTACTAAACACTGCATAGTCAGATTATTTATATACTCGCAGAAGAGGGCTAATTGTGCGGCGTTGTGTTGACAAAATATCCTATTTTACCGCAGGTACCGCTGAAATTGCATGATCCAAAACACAATATCATGGCCATGGCTTAGTCAATATATCACATAGAGTTCGTAATTCCTGGAACTAATTCACCTGTACGCATCAAAACTATTATGGTCTCTGAAGTACTACTAAGCCAAATTGGCGGAATTCTAGTTAACGGAATGTCTACCCGTGTTCTTGTAGACGCGTCTACAAGTACCAATAGTAGGCGAAGTGGACCATTCGTAAGGGTATACTAACGAGATTAGAATTATTCAGGTTTCCCATATTGGACGGACTGACGCCCTATGTAAGCACAGGCTGACGACATGGACTCATATTTGACAGTTGCTAATTGTGTAATAGGTGTGGCTTTTCCTATGACGTCCTTCTAAAAGATCTGGTAGAGTTGCAGTCATTGGGTAGGATATAACTGGTTACACCACTCCTACAACGCCTCATGACGCGGAACCTTCGCAGATGCGTTAGCACAGTTTCGTTGGTAGTAAAAGTGAATTTATTCTTTGAAAATATTTTATTTTTAACCGACAAATAACAGTGACTTTCTCGAGCTGAAATCAAAACTCAAATGCTGCTCTATTCGACGAAGGAGTTCATTAATACAAAGGTACTTGTTTCAGCTTATCTGTCATTTTTAGAAGCTTCGTCCAAGAAGTAAATGGGCAACCAGTGATATTATAGTATAAATGCCTAACAACTACCAATCGATTTACTGACAATACTGTCCTTTACACGTGAGATCTTCTTGATGAAGTTGCTTTTCTATTTCAGTTCGATATTTGGGGTAAATATGATGTTGTCTCCGTCACCGTATAAAAAAAACACTATTCTAATTAAGAAGTTTTCTTGAAACATTCCAATCCCTTGAAAAATTTGCTCATACCACCGTAGCTTTTTTTGAATGAGTATTCTTCTTGGTTATGTTTATGAAGTTATATAACAATAGTTGAAGACAAAAAAAAAGCGTTTCCCATACGCACCAGCTATATTTAAAATAATTTGCAGAAAAATAAGTTCCTAATATTAATATATTGTAATTTACTTCTTTATTAGTTAATTAAGCTGTAGCTATTATATTCTATCGTGTTATAATTACGTCTTTATTCATAGTACTGTTTGTGGGCCCTCCATATCGATAAGACAGGCTTCGAGAAACAAGAAGGCAACTAAGTTTTTTCCGACGCCTAATACATAAATCATTGATTGACGACGATTGCTAGACTGTCAATTACCGAACCATTGGTTCCACAAGGAATACGCATTTAATGTGTTAACAATGAGTTTCCTAGCCAGGATGTCCAATCAAAACAGGTTAAAACAGCATATAAGTTTACTGTTGGTCAGTTTAGGCTTAAGAATTTAACGGTTTGTCAGAAAAAATCTATCATATCCAAGTAATTGTCAATAGAACAACTCTATTGGTCATTTTCCTAACCGATATTTTCTTAGATAAAGATATGGATGACCTGAAAGGATGAAATTTACCTTTGCAATCAAATGACATAATGCTCTTATGTGAAATATATTTAAAGCAGAAGTACGCGAGAAGTTACATGCAACCGGAACCTTTTTGGCTACCTAGTCCGATGGAAGTAAGATATACATCCTAGACATGATCTCGTGCATAATAATCTGCTTTGAAAGCGGCAGCTTGTAGTAATTTTACTTATATTATACCGTAAGGAAAGAGCCGCCGACTGCGATCAACAGCTTCTTTCGAGACACGTTCACAAAGGAATAAACAAAAATGGAAGAACTAAAAGAAAGCGAAAGTAAATAGCGGGCGCTAGCGTGCGTCCTGTAGTTCTGGATTATGTCCATATACAAGCAATAGGGTTTACAAAAGGGTTTTTGCTGCCATATTCCTGTTCAATGGTCTTAAAAATGGGTACGCACGCATATATTACGCTTATTTATTTTTTTTTTATTTATATTTATTATATTATTACTTACCAACAAGCAGGTTAGTTACAGATGAAAGCGGTCTGAGGACGAAGGTCCAATATGTATATGACCAAAGGCAAAGTACATTACAAAGAGGACATGATTTGATTTATGAAACAGTGTTTTTTTTTCTATTTTTGTTTTTCTATTTTTTTTGAAAATACGATATCTGTTTGCTATATGACACAAGCTTGATACAGATAACATACTTAGCTTTACGTATCAGCAATTTGCATATATCGACGAACTGATAAGCATCAGTGGGCTTTTTCCAGAAAATTCGGCGCGTACAGGTTGAAACCTGTGCTTTGATTTATTTATTGTCAATAAAGCAAGGGTAACAACGTACTCCTATTGCATGCTTCGTCCATTTCGGAATTTAAAAACAAAACAATGCTGCAAAAATAAAACACTTTATATAGAAACAAGATGCGTTGGACGGTGTTATATATATATGTATATATTGTGCTAGTATCGACGTTGAGAAAAACTAGATCATAGCTAGAACTAACAACGAGTGTGAACAATATATGCCAGTGTCTCACGGTGGCTAGAGTAACCACTTGGAACCGGGTTAAATTATTCACGTCGATCGTAAGTG